CGAATTTCCTTCAAGTCGATATCATATGAAACAGATTTTACTTTTTAAGATACAAATTTCTTGTTTGGAACTTCAGTGAACCGATCTCGATTTTGAAGCCTGATACTTTGAAGCGGAATGATTTATTATTAGTAGTTAAGTAAGTGACGATTCCATCACCTTCTTGCTCTTTTGGGAATTGAATTAACTGCCAAATTGCTAGCGTTAATAAAAATTAAATTTGGCTGTTCAAGTTAATTTTATATCACCAACTCAGAAGTGGAATTGTAGTCTATGTGGGAAATTGGTTCACTCCTGGAGATACTTAATTAATTACCAATAATAAATTGAATAGCAATAACCAGCGATATTATAATCAAGTTAGTTAGTGAAATGCCTTAACTTAAATGACCGCAATCTCCATTGGCGTCTTTCGGGAGATTAAAAATTTGTGGTATTTGGCATGAATTTTTCGGAGGAATAATCGTAGAATGGAATTATTTTATTAAAATAGGATGAAATCTAATTAGGTTTAAAGCGCACTTAAGGAGTACAGCTTCTGCGTTGAATTATGCCGAGGATTAAAAGCTAATAAATTTTCGAAGTTAAAAGGCCATGAAATAACGGATATTCTTGACATTTGCTAGGAATCAATCAAATCAATAAATCGACTTCAGGTTGATGTGAAGTGGCTTAATATTCAATGATTTATCAAGCGGATATTAAGGCACTTTCACTTACTCATTCACAAGCGAATTAGTAAAACGATCTTATTGATTAGCTTTCGTCTTAATCATTAACCTTATCCAGCTGGTCTATATCGAGCCCTAATATACTACCTTATTGCTTTTGTTTGCTTGGATATATATTTGATTTGTTAATGAAAAGAGATTAGGTGAAAAACGACATCAAGTAACCTGTGGTAATCCAAACTTTCAATGCCCATAGCTTGATCTTTATTGAAGAAAGAAATACAAAAAGAGAATTTTAAATCAGCTAATATAATTACGTAAATAATGCCTTAGATCTTTCATATATCTATAAGGGTAAGTAAAATTTTCATTATTTTCTAGATTAAGTTCTTAAAAATGAAAATATCTATACGGACTTTGTTAAAATCTTTATTTATTCAATTTGGATAAATAATTGAACCATTTGGTCTCCTAATTTGGGGAGGGGGGAGGGTAATGCAAATATCTGGCTTTTTATAATTAAAGATCTAATTAAAAATTACTAATGAGTTTGAATTTTAAACTATTTTGTTTTTAATTACCACGTAAACCAGACCTTGGACAAACATATCACTCAATCAAATGTAAATTAAATTTAAGAATAAAATATCTGCGTCATTGATTCATGATAAAGTCATTAAAACTTTACCCTCAAAAAATGATTTATTAACATAATCGCGTATCAATAAAATATCTAATGCAAAGAATTTGATAGCCCTGATAAAATATACATATTCGTTTCCAAAGTAAGTTTAATTCTTCCCAATTCCCTTAAGAGTGAATAATATTTATTACATTTTAAGTTCATGGGGATTTTGTACAGTGTTTTGTTCAAAGTGCTTAAGCTGGCTTTAAGTGATTTCAATCCGGTCCTAGTAGATTAACGCAGAGCTAATGTGCTTACATCTTCACAATTCATCTAATTATTAATTGAGCCTTCCCTGACACTACTTTCCTTCTAATTATTTAATCACTAGCAAAATATGGACCATATGAATGAAAGAGGCTGCACTCCAAAGGCGGTGGTAATTTAATTAGTAATCCAGCATGCGTCATAATTATTCAAAAAGTCGTACGCACAATGTAGATAGATTTACCCGTGTGCTTAAAAATCACAGGTGCAGAGGTACCTACTCATCAACAGGATCCAACCAATAGAAGACAAGAATAGACCTCTTTTAGAGCTCTGTCGAGGTATCTCATGTCACAAAGATCTCTAACAACCTTGTGTTTTCTCGCGCCAGTCCAGTGCTATCAGACAATTTTTTAATATGCCCGCTACAGCACCGGTTATGTCAAAGCGTATAGGCGGTAAGTTGCCTGATTTCTTGTCATTCTATTAACAAGTTTATTAAATCTATAATATAGATTAATGTTTTTGCATTGATAATTCTTAGCTCCTCAGGGAAACGCCATAAAACAGGGTAAAACAGAGAAGCCAGGTATCCTAAGTTAGTAAATTCTATAGATATTCACGCCCACGCTATTATCAATCTATTATTTCTAAGCACGATTTATTTCCTATTGCGTTATTCAGCCCTTAGTTCAATTAGTTATAATAATTATTTGGTGATTTAGTACAAAAATATGATTTCAGGCATGAAGAAGTACGGGATATGACAGTTAAATAGTTGATGGAAATACTATTGTTTATAAACAGACACTGCTGTTCGACGAGATTTTAGCCTTTGATCTACGTGACAACGTGTCATGGCTTCGAACTTAGCTAGCTAAAAAAACATTCGCTTTATAATCGATGAGGGAGATATTTGAGGTTCAATCGCGTTTTTATACAATTAAGATTTTCATTACCAAAGATTCAACATCTCGGGAGGTTCGCGTAAGTTAGAAAGCCTACTTGGCTCTTAGAGAGGAAACATTCGTGTTAACAGCTTTTATGTTTGTCTAATTGCTTGCCTCACGCTGTTTCTATATCACTTTTGTGTTAAAACTAACTCATTCTCTATGAGCCACACCTAGGGAGAAAATGTGGAAAAATCTACTGAATTTTACACTGAATTCTGCAGATGCTATGTGCTTACAATGCGATTGATCTATATAATTAGCTGAGTGCGTGATAATGACGCCTGTTTATGCATCAAAATTGCGGATGCTAAAGCGATTTAATACCCCTTTTGAGTAATTTATTTAAATAGTTTTTTTACTAAAATTAAATAAAATTGCCTTTAATTAGATAATATCAAGTGTTTAATTTGCTACTAATTTGACATTATTAAAAAGTTTAATTATTTTGGAATAATTTTTTGAAAGAAATTTCCGCCAAAAATTACACTGCAATGATGTGAACAATTCAAGTTATTTTTTCAGCAGTTTGGTGTTCAAGTATACTAATTTGATGAAGAATTCAAAGATGTTTTAACCAATTTTGTTTGTGAAATAGATTTTGAGTTATTTTATGGAAACTCCAAATTGATTTCCATTTGAAAGCAATTTATTTTAGATGCTTCCTTATTGAATTATAATTTGAGATAAAAATTTGAAGAAACTGCTGTTGCGGTTGCAATTGCACCAAAGCTGCACTGGTGGTCAATTAAACTGCTAATTAACTTCTAAAAATTGGGTGACTGATGTTAAGATTTTAAACAATCTCTTTTAAAAACGAGAAAATTTTATTATTTAGCTCCAAGGAAAATAAATTCGCAGAAACCAGCACCAGAAGGTAAACTCAGAAAAGATTGGTTGCCAGAAACTGTCAGAGTTGTAGTTTCTGAGGATGAGTTAAAACAAAACATCAATCTTATTTTCAGCTGATAAGAAAAATCCCACTGGTACACAAGCAAAGCGGAGACCACAAGGCGGTAAATAGACTCGTTACTTTTAAAATAATGGAAAAATTAAATAAAATTTAATATTTTATTAATAATTTAGGTCAAGGTTCTGATACTGATTCCGGAAGTAAGCGCATTTTTCTGAATGACTATGAGTCATTAAATCCTTCACCGGACTTCTGGCTCATTTAAACAATCAATTTTATTCTCAGTTTATCAAGTAAAAAGTCACACAATTATACAAAGACGTCAACCCCCACCCAAATTTAATCGACCTGCACGTAAGTTAGGCTGATACATTTAGATGATATACGCACAAAATCCTCGTAATGTTTCACTAATTTGTTTAAACTCTAGGTGATACTTACTTTGATAAGGTGCTTAACAATTCGGAAGACTCCTATGAGGAGAGTGTCGAAAATGGTTTGTTTATTGGAAGTTAACTCATATTTCGCTTTCCAGGAACGAAAATATAATTTGCTTTTATCCATTTCTAGACGGTTTCTACATCTGTGAAGATTGCAAAATGGATGATGGTGAGCACAATATTCTATTAAATGAAAGCAATAAAGGGTGAACTCAATTAAAATATACTCGATGTTTCATGGCACATTTTATGCAAATTAGATTATTACATTTGCCGAAGATGCAAAATGAACGCAGGCAAGCTCCCAGCTACTTAATAAAGGTGTAAAAGAGCGTTCATCTGTTTAACCCATTAAATTCCTATCTAAATTAGCAGTTATTTTTAATACAGAACCAACTAACAGAACTTAAGAGTTGTAATTAATAATGAATAGCATGAATGTGCTAACATCTAAATCTCATTATCAAGACAAATGCATTTTTCGAATACGAAACATAAATTTAAAAATTGCATTTCAGGCGATCATCATAAACCCTCTCCGCCTCCACAGCGTCATAACAAACAGGAACAAAATGGTAAGCAATCATAAGATTTCAAACAATTACGAATCTCATTAGATTACTTATTCTTAAATGTCAATTTCCATTGTGAAATGGACGTGAATATAAGTGAAGAAATCCACTTTGTATCTCTCTAGCTACATTTGTTAGATTAACACGGAGGGATCTTCCGGTGTTTGACCATCGAGCTATCGTATCGAAGGTTCCTTATTAATAGGAAAAGGCAAAAATAGAACTCTTTGGTTGAGTAAAAGAAGAAAGTAACATCAAACTATTACCAAATTAATGAGAATTAAAGTGGATTGAATTCGTCAAATCAGGGAATGCCAATTATTAATGCCAAATGTTTAACATTACAATTATCTTCAGCTGGTCGTTGGTCCTATTTGAGAAAACCGCGTAAGTTTTTCGGTACGCTTTTGCTTGCCTTAAACAAAAGCGCACACAACTGTCGTGACCCTGCTAATTCAAATCCCTCGCTGAATATCTGCCATACTTAAACACATTACTAAATTCAAACATAACATTTATTTCAATTCTGTGTCAGCAAGTTTGATTTGAGTGTGCTAACTTCAGAATATGCCTTAAGAAGTAGAAGAAATCGATTCAGTATGTTTATTTCTAACGCGATTTCTCGATATATGCCTTCCTAAATACAACGATTGAATTAATCAAAAAATATTTGATCTAGAATTATAACCGTGTTCTAATCGAATTTCGGGAAGTGACACATATAATTGATTTGCCATTCTGTAAAATGTTAATAAATTTAGGTGACGAGTTTTACGACGAAAATGAAGGTAGGTTGACTAAACAAATTTTAATAAAATCTATAACACGAATAAAACTTTGAAAATCATTAAATCAAGTCCATTTTCATTTTTTCAGAAGATGAAAGCCTAACAGAAGACGAAAGTAAGCCTATTTTGGGCATTAAAACATTGATGAAATATTAAATAAATGTTGCATATATTTTACAACTTTCATTTAATTTATAACTCTACCTTGATTGTTATTAATTTAGCTCCATCACCTCAGAGAAGACCCTCTGGGAGGCAACCATCTAAACCCACCCGAAATGGTGATTTTTTATTTTCTTCATCTTGATTTATGAGATCGTTATTAAGTTTAAACCGCCTTTACTTGATAACAGCCAGTTTTCAAAGACAACGTCAACAGAAGCCACATCCAAAACCCGAAGTGTTAGGTAATTTTGATGATGAATAGGCAATTGATTGAATCAGTATATAAGAGCAAATAAGTAGGGAATTTATTGAAGCACGCAACTTAATATTGCTTTGAGGCGAATAAAAATTCAATATTTTAATGTTCAAACGGCAAAACCAAAACTACTTAAACAAATAATTAATGTTACATAATTTTCCAATTTTTTACTATATAATTTAAAATGTATTAATGCTTTTTAGACCGATCTCAAAACACCAAAACAATAAAACGAGCGGGTAAGCTAATATTTTGAACGTTGTACAAGTTTTGAAGCAAGACAACCCTCAAATATTATTTTATTTCATTAATAAAAAAAAGATGATGATATTTTAAGCAACGCGCTTTAAAATCTAAATTTATGGAATTAAAACCCTTTAAAGGAAAATCGTATATATTTATAGTATATTATCAAAAATATTTTAATAATGCAAATGAAATATATTTCACGCTTAGGTACTTTAAAATTCATAAAATAATATATTTTGTTTATTTTTAGGCGCAAGACTGTCTCAAAGAGATAACAGACGAGAACCACCAAGGTCCAGAAGGGAACCTGGTAGAAATTAGTGCTTAAATAGGAAACATGTTCGTATTGTTGTAGAATTATTAACCAAAATGCTTTTTATTTCCTATAGAATATTCCGATTTCGACAGCAATGAAGATGAACAAAACAGTAAGCTTTGCTATTGAGAAAATATGATACTGACAAACCTAAGAGAAAGTTTAAGATTATTTTTTGCATTACTTGTATAATTTTTAAAATTATTTCAAGGTGAGATGTCCGTAGAAATGCAACCCCGTCGACGATCAGGTAAGAAAACCAGTTGATAAATCAAATAAACTGTTGTTAGTCTTAATAAAATAATAATATTGGCTACAAGCTCGACAATAGATTTGATTAAACATTTCGTAATATTTATTTTTCAAAGATGTCTACTTGGCCCTTGAAATGGTATTTTCGAAAGTCTTCATTTTAAAACCGCTGCAATGTATTTTTAATAAAAAATTACACGTTGCATTTATTGAAGTAACGGTAGCAAGGCTGCGTAATTTGAGCAATATTTTTAAGATTTGTCTCTGAGATTTGAGAGTTTCTCAGGCTAGACTTCTGTTGAATTTACTGGAAACATTGCAGCGTTATTTCTGTTAAATGGCATTTCTATCGCTCTTGACCTTTTAAGGTTTAAGGCAGTGGAAAATAAGTCAACTGAAGTTCTCACTGATTTCCGTTATAGTCAAAAAGTGTCGTAATCTTTACATCGGAATTCTTATACAGTTGAAATTCCCAAAATTTTAATTCTTCTGAGATGGGGATTTGGTTTTCTGAAAACATTACGCCTGAGTAGCCATAGTCATGGATTTGGGGAAACTTTCCTACAACTTATCGCTTGCACACCAGTTTGATCAATGTACTTTTGGCGAAAGTCCACCAACGGCTCAAAGGCATTGCGAAGTTAGAAGTGACAATCGATTTTGCTATTGATTTATTCAAATAATGGGACGGTCGTAAGTCATGTGAATTAGCTAAATTCTGAAGACATTCAACTGTCAAAGAATATTGTAAGCACCACCAAGATTGGCCGACAACAAATAAAATAACATTATACTCTTTCCATTATCTGATTCTCATGATCAGAATTACGGCACTTAATTATAATTTTGTTAATTTTAGTTCACAATGACGCTCCTCCAAGGCGTGCCAAACAACGTAAGCGCATTAACATCACATATACTATTCAAATGATTTAAGTAACTATCGATTGTAATGAATGATAAATAATTTACAAATTATTAAAGAATTTCGAGGTATGTTTAACCAGCTTTGGCGGCCAGTTGCCATGAAATAACCACCCGAAATAACAGCCTTTACTTTTCTTACTTCTGATCTAAGCATTCGTGCTACTGAGTTTATAATAAAAAATTTATATTTGCAGAGGTCGTTGAACGCAGAACTACTACCCGATTATGTTAGTTGAAAGTTTTCAGATAATCTTCTCAGAAATATTGATTAATGATCTAATTTCGCCTTTCTTTCAAGCGAGACAGAATGATGACGATGTTAGAATTAGTAAGCTACTGTAGACTAAATTCGTTTTCCCTTCTTTTGCCTTTAATTTCTGTTATCCATTATGCTGGTGCATTTTGTTTAAATCAGGGAGGAGGCGAGTTGCAGACAATTACTCTTCCGAATCCTGTACGCATTCACTACAAAACTTATATTAGCACAACAAATGATAACCGTCTCTAAGAGACAAATAACGAACTAACTTTGAACTTTGAGCCATTGTATTTAGTAAAACTAATCCATCATCATTGACTTGTAGGGACAGAGGCCTCCGAACGGTCTGACAACTCCGAAGATACTTGTAAAATCTTCAAATCACGCAATAAATTTTATATATCCCTACTTATACTAATTAAGTAAAATGGTTTTAGATGAACACATAGAAGTTCAGCGTCGCAACTCACGTCGACAAAATAGAAAGGGTGGGTGCGCGCTTGTTTTTCAATTTACGTGCACCTTTTTGTTTCTTTTATTTGCGGTGCACCATCTGTTGCAGTGTATACGACATATTTAGAACATCCCCACACACATATTGTAGAAATATACGAATACGAGGACGACCAACAGGCCAGACCCCAAGGTCGGCGAGGTAAAGGCAAAAAATAAGCCATTTAAACAATTTAGTGCTTTTTTGGATTCAACAAAATCTTCTTTTATATCACATTATGCTCATTGAACTATCATTTTAATATTGTTTTATTCATTTGTTGAATGTCAATTTGCACGAAATGTCTAAATTTGAATTTAAATTACCTATTTAATAATAGTCCGTCCAAGGAGCAAAACACAAGGTCCTTCAAACGGATCTTTAGGTGAATGCCAACTTTTATTTAAATTTATTGTCCAGAAATGGTATAAGTTTATTAAAGTTATGTTATTAACCAAAGACAACGTTAGGAGAATAAATATGTTCTGATTTTCTTATTAGGAAGACGAATTTCAACTGTTGCTGAAGTAAGTGGAACAAAATATAACACATAACTAGGGTGTAAAATTAATCAAATAGTTTAACCTAAACTAAGGAGAAGCCGAGACCATATTAGAGTTAATGCAAAGTGGCGTTGGTGACAAAATCTGTATAATAAATATCTCCGTTTATAGCCCAAAATGCGATCGATGGGCGTAAGAGCTGCCAATGACGTAAGCAGAAAGAAATTCTTATTGAAAATTATCTCAGTATATAGACATTTTTCATTTATCGCACTAAAATTGTTTACAGAGAACTTGAAGAATACACGATCTAAGGAGACCCAATTGAGTGCCGATTACAATTACTTTCGGTGTTTCTGCTAATGCCTACCCTCTCTCTTTTCTGGCACTTTCGCTTAATTGTAGACCAGTATATGCCCCTTTAACTAATTTAACTCTTTCAATATCTTTCCCATTGAATTATCTTTATGTATTTGAGTTTTCGTAAATCATGAATTTAATTCAATTACTTTATAAAGACATTTGTTTATTGTCGCGTCAGGATAAATATGGATTAAATAGTTGTTAATACAACATTTATCAAGAATACAGAAGTGCGATTTTATTTATTTTATTATCTGTCAATATATATTTAATGCCTCTAATTATTGAAACAACGCAATTCATACAAAACGGGATTGCATAGAAATAAGTTAATAAAATTACAAGCGCGCACAATTGACTTACTTGAGTAGCATTTTATTTTGTGGTTCTTCAGGTACATAGGTAAGAGCACGTCAATGGAATCAAGGTCAAGTTTGAAACAACCCTTTTAGTGTATTACGGTAGTCATTACCATGTGTCATCAATTAAATCTAATTAGTCGCAAAACAACTTTACTATTTGATTTATATCATTGTAATTTATTGAATCACCTAGTTTATTAAATTGGCTAGTTACAAAGATTACTTATTATCTTAAACTTTAATATATATATTACGCAGTGTTTCGTGGGCTATAATTTAATTGGGCTTGAAAGCTTTCATGTGAATCATTGTAATTAATTTAGTTTGGACTTCAAACACCATTTCTTAATTAGCTTAAGCTTGAACCATTAATGATAATCTACTTTAATAACATTTAACATAGCTTCTCATTAAATAATAAAACGAGATTATCCTTTTTTGATTTAATGCAAAATCAATTTCATTTATCATTGCTTTGTATCGGGACTGTCTAGATTATATGTTACCAAATATATTTCAAATGTACTTTTGTAGCTGCCCGGAATAATCGGTTTTTACTTAAAACTGAGATACCCGAAATCTATGCACCCATTGGCAGGGGTAACCCGACCTTCGCGTCTTGATGTCACCTTGATTCCAACCCCTTACTGGTAAAATGTATGAAATCAGAGAAGAGAATGATTGAGGACATCTGAGTTGTGATAATAAACATTAGCAGGCAGCTGACAATTACCCAGATTGATTAAGAGCATAGACAGGGGACATAATCACATCTTAACTTTTATTAAGGGACATATCTGCTGTACCGTTGGACAGATGACACATATCTTTAAGTAAAATACTAAGTAAAGGGAAAGTGGAGATGAGTTAATGAATTTTATTCACAAAATCAACCTTGTTTTTGTTTGGTTTTAGCTGTACTTAAAATACGTAGTTCTATGAGAATTCCCTGGTTACGCACAGAGAACAGGAATTTTAAGCCGATGAAAGATATTGTTCAAATTCGTTTTGAAGATCGTTTACACCAGATTTCATGCAAGCACTTAAGATTATGTAGCCCCGAAATCATTTCTTCCTGTGTAATAGATATCGGGACGACATTTACTTCACGATTTGAAAATAGTATAGCTTAGAAGAGTACTCTAGAAAGGAAAAAATATATATTTTTTTGTCTAGTTAAATGTGAAATTCAACAAGATTTCACAGGAGCCCCAACAAAGTTCAATTATATTGCAAAGTGTCATTGACTTTGTCTTAGTGGAGTGGTTCTGTGATTTGAAAATATTTTGAAGTAACCTGAAACTAGATTGAGTCTAATGAACTTTTTCCAACTAAGAATTTGAGATTTAACGCAGGAACAATTTAAATGTATGGACTACCAATAAATTGAAAAACACAAAAATTTAAAATTCCTTAATTAGTTTTCATGGATAAATAAAGGTGAGAAATCAAAGGCCTTACAAGGGGGGTTCATGTACTCTTTGTCCAGTTAACGTGCTTTTTAAGGGCTTGTGAATGTGCTGCCGTCTGGCCAACAAAAAAGTAAGGAATAAGGTGAGTCACGCGATAGCCGAATCACTTATTTGAACTAGAATAACAGTAGCATTAAACTAAACATCATTCATTGCCAATACCATGTATTGGATTGTACAAGGACATAGTAGGAAGAGCCTTTCGTATCTAATCAGTCAGTATTAAAGAAATATTAAAGAACCAGGTTCACCAGATGCTGTATGCTTTGGACTTGTACTAGCAAAGGGATACACAATATGAGCACAAAATCTTGTTAACTAGTAGTTTAATTAGTAATAAATACTTTGCCTGAATAGTGGCAAATAGGGAAATGCGTTGGAAATTCATTCTTCCCCTTTCAAAACTGCTCTGGTTGATGGGGCCATTAAGTTACAAAGTACCCGATGCAATGATTAAACCACAGCTTCAAAACTCACCATGTTTTCGAACTGAATTATAAGTTGGCATTTTAAGAACTCTGTTTTCTCTTGTTGATATTAGCTTGTCTGCTTGAGTGCATCTTCATGGGTCTCGTGCAGAATAGGCACAAATCTCGAATCATCGAAACGATATTTTTGCGGGAACTTACAAACAACTGTTGAAGTTTTTCATCATAGTATATCCTCCATCATGTAGAACAGACAAATGCTAAAATTAAGGACAAAATGAGGTCTTAATACTCAGGTGTTCTAGACCTCAGTATGGCACCGCATTCACCCTAGTTGATTCAATGAAATAATTTGCTGCATTTCCTACCATATTGCCGTCATAATCACACAGATAAAGCCAAGGTATTATATTTTAGACCCAGTGCTAGGGTTGTGTTCTGTAGATCGCTTATGATTGAAATGCATAGTATGCCCACTAAGATTCGCAACCAAAACATTCATTCGAATAATGAGTGCCAGTATGGGAAATATCAGTAACGACATTAATTTTGGATAAAATATTACGCATCAATGTAATTCGATTAAATACCTCATAGCGAAAAATGCGATGAACTGAGGATGTTTTGCTCGATGTATTTGCGAAGGTGCTTGAAATTACGCAAATATTTTCATTTTAAGACACTTGACTACTCATCTGCAAATAGAATAATGATTGATGGCTTATTAGAAGCATTTCGGTATGGCATCTATTATAAATCAATTAAATTGCTAATTTTAAATTAAGCGACACCTACTTCTTCTAAATATGCTGTTTAAACAATAGAAGGGTAGTATCACAATCCGATCCGCTAAAAGAAGGCACTTCTAAATCTAGGTTATGTGAATTTGGAAGGGCGCTAAATGGAAGACGACTAATTCTACAAGGTTTTATATTAATGTGGCCATTAAAAGTTAATCGAAACCAAAAGTCTTCACGTAAAAGAGGAATTAGATATGTGAAACCTCGATGTCATCGACTCCTTGTAAGGTGTGCTTGCAATGGCGTTCTTATCGCCTTAAGTGATAAATATTACTTGCCAACTGGCGGACAATGGAGTGACTGCTTTATTGCAACATAAAGAAAAAATTGTCAATCAGATGAGGCAAGACTGAATAAAACTAAAGCATATAAGACAGCTGATCAGATAATCCCGGAGCCTAGATGAATATTGATTTTCTCTGTTTCTTTGACACAGTCCATCATCCTCACTGCCTCTTAAAAATGAAACATCGTCAATTCAGTGCTGGATAAAATGAGAAAATCTTTTTGAGAAACTAATGTCGCAGGTATTCTAAAGCATTTCTAAAAGCTTAAATTTCCATCTCAAGGTAACTTGAGGGGGTATAGTTAGGTGGTAGGCAATAAATTATGTGAGTGTATTCACTAAAGAAAAACAAGACCTTGGCACCGCTCAATGAACTACTATTTCACAGTTGCCATGGTTAACAGCAACTTAAAATACTCGGTTATATGGTGTTATAAAGTTTATTAAGATAAGATTACCATTACCGCTATAATTTGCAATATTATCTACAAAGTTGGCTTTTTACAACTTATTCATATGAAATGAAAAATAAAATTTTCAAATTCCTCGTTAAAATCCCAATATCGATTCTCCAACTTAAACTATCTCTATCCTTATTTTCTATTTTTTTTCCCCGAGAGAATACTGTTAGCTGACCTGATAAATTAACGGCTTTGCCTTAATTTAATAAAATTGATAAAGTCACACATTTTGCCTGATTACTCACCCGTCAACATCAAAGAATCTAGCGCCTCTTTTTTTTAAAATAACTTTTAATAAAAATTATGTTAAGTATGCTCATGGGTGTTTATTAAGTGCACGAAGGAAGGCAATTGATTAAAATCACCATCGTAGTTCGCTTCTTTAATTGAAACTGATTAGCGGTTTAACTGACTTTGTAAGTCAGCTATGAGGCACATCATATTGAAAGCTTATTAGTTGGAGCTCAAGAAAATTCAAAGAGTCCTCAATGTGATTAAGCATTTGAAAAGACTAACCGTTGGGATTGCACATGCGCTGTCGAACATTCTGGAACTTGTGGCTGCTCGTTTTAAGAAGCAAATTAGGTTATGAGTGCCGAGACAACTCAGCCAATCGACAACCAACCGTTATTACAGGATCAGCGTGCCAAAAACAGCATTAAATGGCCAAACTCTGTGCCACAGGTATCGGTTATCATAATCATCACAAACTTCAACACTTGCATATTAATTGATTTACTATCACCCAATCTGGAGTTCAAAATTTATGACCCTAAGATGTCCAGTGTTGCTTTATCGAGTGTAGCGCCATTTTTGCCACTTTAAGATCTAACAGGATATTAAGCAGTTCA